ATCAAACAGTTAACATTGCTTATAGTTTCCAAGTCTGCCTCAGAGAGCATATGCTAATTCTATAATTAGAAATTACAGTAAATGTTATCAGAATGTCCAGTTTCCAGGAGTTAGGGCACAGTGAGCAGAGTGCAGGGATAGGATCCCTGTTTAGTGCTTGGAAATCTGAACGGACTGCTCTTAAGGCAGGTATCCATCATCCAAGCGGTCTGTGCATTCGTTGTCCATCGGCTGTTTATCAGACGCTCAACGTGGACTGGGCACTCAGGTGGCACGGATGGATACAGAGGTGAAGAAATCACTGTTGTGCTGTTAGTTGCTACTATGATGGCTACCTGTCGTGTACCAGGGCTTGGGATAAATTCCTGCACATCACCCAGTAGAGGTTAAGGAACAGACTGGAAACCCACAGAGTAAAGATCAGAAAGAAGAGAAATGAGGTCCCCGTTTTTTCAACATCCCATGGAAAGGCATGCTGGGCTCATTGTCCCATGGAGGGACATTCTTTAGACAAGTGGTCCAGGAAAGCAGTCACCTTACACGTGGGGACCTTGGAGGCCTATGGGAGTTTCAGGCAGGCACAGACCCTCTTGCTGGAGTAAAGGAGCTCCTGGTCCTGTAGGAAGCTGAGAAGAGGTGGCCCCGACAACCCAGAGCAAGCTGCTGGGGTCATTTTGACACGATGCCCCTTGTAGCCCCACAGACACTGTCCTTGTTCTCACAAAGTTCGTAGCGTCCTAGGAAGACAGACAAGTATCCAGAAAACCAGTCACTGCCATTTTAGGTGCCTCTACCATAGAGCTGCCCAGATTCTGCCATGGCTCATCATTTGAGCCTGCCAAGACTTTTAAAAAAATTTTGTCATCCCAAATTTGTTGTCCCTCACAGCTTTGTGTCATCAGTACAGTTGACAGACATGTTCTCAGTGTCTCCATCTCAATGGCCCAAGGAGCCATCCTCTCAGCAGGCCACCAGGAGGATCCTCAGGGCTGACTGTGTAAACAAACCCAATGGGTCTGTCTCTGGCTGAGTGCAGAGCTGAAAGCGAAAAGCACAACCAAGGCTGAAGTGGGTGAAGAGAAAAGGTTTATTGCTTGCACAAGCAGTGGAGAACACAGGGGATAGCTCCCAAAGTGGTGCCCCTCCCCCAAGCTTAGTGCAGTTGGGGATTTCATACACCAGAGTGCAGAGGATATGTTACCACTGTGTAACAACTGGGCCTGATCAGGGTGCATAGGCAGGCCCTTACATAACGAATTCAATGCCATTACATAACGAATTCAATGCCATTATATAACGAATTCAATGCCATTACATAACAGGCTCAACGCAACGTGCCATTGTGTAACAGATCCAAGGTAACTTTTGGACGCTTAGAGCTGGAGCAGTTTGCAGGGGTCCTGCTGCACCTGTGTAAGTTTCACTGTAGGATGGCAACATCTGCAAAAAACAAGGACATCAACTTCTGAAGAACAGCATATTTCGCTTTCTTCTTGTCTGGAAAACGTTTGACAGACTATGTTTAGTTATGGATCGATTTTCATTAATCCTTTCCTTGCTTGGTTTCTGGTCACAACCAGATCTGTGAACTCTCTGCCCCTTGGCCAGGTGTGAATCTGCCCAGAGGTGCCATCAGCTCACTTTGCCCTTCCTTAGCCCTGTGGAAACCCAGACCTCCCCCAGGCTTCTCAGCTTCCCCATACAGCCCCTGGCTGGTTTTCCCATGTAAGCCAATTGCCTCCAGGCTCTGTAACCTTCTGGTCCCTTCCCTTTCTCCATGCCCACCGCCAGTCTACCAGCTCAGGCCTTCTCTGTCTCCAGCCTGAACAACCATCACAGTCTTTTAGCAGGTCCCCTGGCATCTAGTCTCTTCCTCCTCCTACCCATCTTTCCTTCTAGAACCCACATCGCCTGTTAGGTAGACACTTGACTGGAATATCATTCAGTAATAAAAAGGAATATACTGCCAATTCATGCTTCTACACGACGAACCTCAAAACATGATGCTGAGTGAAAGAAGCTGGCGGCAAAAGACCATGTATTGTGTGATTCCATTTATATGAAATGTCTACAAATGGCGAATATATAGAGAGATAAAGCAGATTAGTGGTTGCCTGGAGCTGGGGGTAGGAATGAGGATTGACTACAAATGCACACGTGGGACACTTTGCAGTGACAGAAGTGTTCTAAAACCGGATTATGGTCATGGTTACACAACTCTGTAAATTTACTAAAAACTATTGAATTGTACACTTAAAAAAACCTGGCACAAATACAGGGCAAAGGGAAGGGTTGATGAGGGTGGACGGCATACAATGTTTTGGTGTGCTATAGAATATTCCAGTATATTCCACTGTGTTTTTTTTTTTATTTTTTTTATTTTTATTTATTTATTTATTTTTTTAATTTTTTGTTTATTGCAGTAACATTGGTTTATAACATTGCAAAAATTTCAGGTGTACATCATTGTACTTCT